GATCAGCCGGTGGAATGGAAACAGTTAGGGCCATAAAGATATTTAATTGCTCTTTGCAAAAATTTAATTTACGATACACAGAATACTTGGGTGATGGTAATAGTAAAAGCTACACTTCTGTCAAAAACACATACAAGGGTATTGAAGTAATTAAACTAGATTGTATTGGACATTTTCAAAAGCGCATTGGATCTCGTTGTAGACAATTAAAAAAGCAAGTCAAGGGTTTAAATGGTAAAGGCGGTTTAACAAACGCTACAATTGATCGGTTGCAAAATTATTTTGGTATTTGCATTAGGCAAAATTGTGGCAACCTTGAAGGTATGAGATCTTCAGCTTTGGCTAGCTTATTTCATGTAGCATCTTCAAGCAAAAATAATTGGCATTACCCGCATTGTCCCACAGGAAAAGATAGTTGGTGTAAATACAATCGAGATAAAGCTAATGGAACCAAAAAGTATAAACCCGGACCAGGTCTTCCTATTGAAATAGTACACAAGTTAAAGCCCATTTATGTAGAACTAACATCAGATGCTTATTTAAATCGTTTGCTTCATGGAAGAACACAGAATCAAAATGAAAGTTTTAATGCAATGATATGGTCTAGAATACGTAAGTCAAAGTATGTTTCGCTTACGCAATTGAAATTTGGACTCTATGATGCTATTGGTGCCTTTAATATAGGATTAAAGTCTAGTATACTTATATTTGAAAGACTTAATATGATACCAGGGCAACATACCATTTCTGGATGCAATTACCTGAACCAGAAAAGAGTTATGATGTCAGAGTATAAAAATCAAGACACCATCAAAAAAAAAAGGAAGATTTTAAGAAGCTGCAAGCTTAAAAAATTTGATAAAGTTGAACAGAAAGAAGGGAAATTGTATGGGGCTGGTGTTCATGATTAAAAAATACAATCAGTATGCTCTTTTTATATTATATTTTTTGTATCTTTGTTATTATATAATATTTTTCATCACAATTTCAACTTATTTGGCATTTTTCTCAGAACGCGTGTTTTTAATCTCCCGGCAGAAGTATCTTGAGAACCGCTTGACCGATTTTAATGAAATTTTCAGGGAGTATTCCTCTCATAAAGATGTATGCAATGAGCAGACAACTTTTTAAAAATGTTTTTTAAACTAAAGAAATTAAAAAAAACATCTATCATTTTTGTGCTTAAAATTTTTGCCAAAATTAAACAGGCCTACTACCTGACAGAAAAGTTATTTTCAAAAACTGTCTGCTTATTGCATAGATCTATCTTTTAACTATAAATTAGAAAAAAATCAGCTCAAAGTATCATTCTAATTGACTGCAATCTTTGCCAGGGTGAAGAGACTAATTTGACATTTTCCCTTAGTAACCGCGTTGCCATGGCAACAGAGTGCCATTTTTTATAATAGATCTTCTTAACATTTAGTATACTTTTATTTGGAACATGTAATAACTTTATTAATGCTTTACTTTAGAAAATAAGTTTTTGAGGGGTTTTCCCCCTTAACTCTCTTCATTTTTATTTTAAATATATATGAGCTTAATATTTTTAACGTTATATGCTTTATGTTTAGTATTTTGTACTGTATTTGAGGATACTGTATTTGGAGGATTTGAGGATACTGTATTTCGAGGAGCATTACTTTGGAATAAAATAGTTTTAAAGAATTTTGACTTTTCTCAAGAAGTTAGCTATCACTCTTTCAAACAAAAACTTAAAAAAGTCATTTTCTTATTAGATGATATACCTATATTCTTTTAATTTTTTGTTTCTTTTTTAACTTTATATTTAACACTGCATTAATAAAATTTATAATTTTACAATTTGTAAAAAGTTGTTTAACACTTTTGTTAAAAGTACCTTAAAACTGTATAACAAAACCTTTAACAAAAAGTTTAACAATTTTGTTAAAGGTATCTTAAAACTGTATAAAGCATCTATGTATTTATAAATTTATAACGGAACCTCTTTTCATTTTCTTTTTTTCTTTAAATTTGTTAATGTTTTTAATTCTTAATTATTTGTTATCTTCAAGTATGTTAAGTATATATTCCTATTGAAAGTTTATTTATTTTGAGAATATTTTATTAATACGAAATATTATCACGTAAATTTTTTAGCGGTTCTCGACGACAAGACCTTACGGTCTTCTACGAGTTCCCACGTTCTTTTATTTCTTAATAACAATCATGTATATATATATATACATTGTTAACGAATATTTATTAAATCACAAAGTTGTAAAATTAAAGAACAAAAAAAAAAAAAAAAAAAAAAAAATTTCAAATTACAGATGGAATACTTTAGTATTCTATCTGTGGCTTACTACCTCTTAAGTTCACTAAGTTATGCTACCTCTTAAGTTCACTTCGTACACTTACTTCCTCTTAAGTTCACTACGTTAAGTGAGTTAGAAAATTATTAAATGTCTAGTTTATGAACAGAAAAACCAGGACAACATTCCTAATGTTTTTATTTTGAATAGGTAACTGACAACAATAAATAACCCAAATCAAATATTACATGTCCAACAATTTATTAAAAACATAAATTCAAACTGTAATAAATATTACAAATTTTACTTTATGACAGTTTATTTTAAAATTGAGTTTATTGAGCAAAATTTAAAAGATTATATTTGGATTTTGTTATTGTTTGCAGAATCTCAAAAACAAAACAAAAAAACAACCCAAAAATAAAAAAAAATTACGGTGGCGTTTTTGACACCTATCTTCATTTAGCCCCTATCTGCTTATTGTCTATATATTTGCACTTTAATTTCATTTTCTTTAAGATTTAATTGTAATTCATTTTACACATTGCAGCAAAATAAATTTAAAAAAAAAGGTGGCTATCAGCGTAAGCGTGTATATAAAGTTTATACAATTAAGGATCAGTAAGATTATTTTTTAAACATATATAAAACGATAAGTTTATTAGTGCAAAAAAATGTAAAACTACTTTTTCTTAACATCCAGTTAACAATATAAAAAAATATTATATTGAAAATTTTGTAAATTAAAATCAAAAACTATTTTGAAAAAATTTAAAGACATTGATTTTAATTTTGTAAATTAAAATCAATAGACAAAAACTATTTTGAAAAAGTTAAAATAAAGTTATATATTTTTTTAAATTAATTTCCAGTTAAATAAAATACTGGTAAACAAGAATTTTTACTATTGTCTCTTCCTTTAAATAGCATCGATTGGTGATGATATAGGTTCTACTCTCAAATGATTCAAGCTTTTGAGTGTTAGTTATATTAAAAATAACTGAATAAAGTAATATAACTTTTAAAATAAGTAAAAACATTTTTTCTTGAAACTTTGCAAGTTTTTACTTTCCAATATGCCAATGATGTTAATAAACAACTTTTTAAAAACCAGAATGAATGATATTTTTTTTTTTTTTTTTTTTTTTTTTATTTTACTTCACCTCCTCAAGGCCGAGAAGGCCACTACTAACGAGGAGGCTACTTATTTTGTGGCTATAACCCTCTCTCAACTCTATTACTCCGAAACACGAACCTTGACGAACAAGGCCGCTGCGCGGAGAAACGAGTTGAGCGCGGTACTACCAGGGACGTGGTGGGGATCGAACTCGGAACCACTCGTTTATGAAGCAAGCGCTCTACCACTACACCACTACCGCATTTATGGCATATATGGCATAACAAAGCAAACTGTTCTTTCAATTAAAAATGAAAGCATTATCCAATTAACAGATCGCTAAAGGTAAAACAGCAGTTTTTGTTTGATATAAACCATTGTTTCAATTGTTTCAATTAAAAGAATAATTTTGCTAAAGTTATACTTTTGCTTATACAAGTTTCTTCAAAAATTTTTGTTTAATTTGTTTTTGTATAAAGTAAGTTTTTCTAGTGGCACTTGATTATACTTTAAAAAAACTAATCTATAAATAAAGAGATAATTCCATAAATAATAGATCCAATTGTTACAGACCTGTCTGGTCTGCAACATTTCATGATTAACAGATCTAATTGTTAAAGACCTGTCTGGTCTGCAACATCACACACAACAGATTGGTCATCAATATACATTATTAATATAAATAACTCTTTTCTCAAATAAATTATTTTTTTTAGTTCATATATTCACTGACAATAAAAATCTTTTACATACCAATAAAAGATATGAACTTAGATGTAAAAATGTAAATTCATATCTAAAAGATATAAGTTATTGGTTAAATGGTAATTTGTAACACAGAAAAAACTTTTTTATATTTCCTAGAAAAATTTCAGCAACAATGTTATAAATAAAAAAAAAAAAATAAAAAAATATAATATATAAGAACAGAAATAATATGTATACATACATATACATACATATATATATATATATATATATATATATATATATATATATATATATATATATATATATATATATATATATATATATTTATACATATATATATATACATATATATATATACATATATATATATATATATATATATATATATATATATATATATATATATATATATATATATATATATATATATATATATATATATATATATGTATATATATATATATATATTATTTTTTATTTACTCTTAATACATGCGTATGTATATATAAAATGATATGTTTTGTAAATTTTTTTATATATAATAATTAAATATAAACAATATTTAATTATTATATATAAAATTCAAATAAATAACAATAGGCAAAACTTTATATATATGTCAAATAAATAACAATAGGCAAAACTTTAATTTACTGCAAAAGATCCTAAGGATAAAGGTGTGTACTGAAAATGTATAAAACGTGTTCTTTGAGAAGCGAGAAAAAAATAGAGATTAAAACAAAGAACAATAAAGCGAGGGAAAAAGTTCTTTTTAGGAAAAATAACGATGGGAAGTAATAGCAGCAAATAGAAAAAACGAGGAGGTATAATAAAAAACAAATGAGCGTGTTATAAAAGATTATTGCGCGTAAAGTATAAAAAATAATTTACAATTATTTCAAGTTAAAATTTAATCAGAAAAACTACATTTGCACAAATGTAACAACATTTATTCTAATAAAACAATTATTTAAAAATAAATTTGAAAAAGATTTTAAATGAAAAACATTCTAATAAAAAAAATATTTTGAAAAATAATTGGAAAAATGTTGTGCAAATTACATTTGCACAACATTAATTTTAATAAAACGAATATTTTAAATATTACGTTTAAACTTTTTATGTTAACCATTTTTATAATAACAGTCTTGTTTTTACATTGTTTTCTTTACATTATTTCTTTTTTACTATATTACTTGAAACTCCAAAACTAAAAAGTGTTGTTATTTTTATCGATTGCATCTAGAAGATTATTGCAGGATCTACTAATCGACATTTTGCTATTTATTTTCTTTTGCAACTTTGGTCCTTGAAAAGGGTTATTTCCGAATATATCGTCGTGAATAATGTTGCTTGTAAATGACGAAAAACGCAAAGGCAAATGTAAATTACTTTTATCATATCGAACGTCTACCATCGAGTCTAAATATAATTTTTATTTTTTTTGAATTACAATTTTTATAAATAAAATTAAAATATACTTCAAAGATTTAAAAATTAAAACAATCGAGCAATTGGACAGACTCAGTGGTGTCGCTGGGGGTTGGTGTCATCCAGTGTAGCAAACTTTTGATGTCACCCCTCTAGACATCTATTGACAAGGCCGACGATACAGGTTTAGAATTTCTTTTCGAGTTTCGAGGTCCTTTGGAAAAAAAGTTGGGGCATACAAAATACGATCTTTTGATCTTGAATGAAAGACGAAAGATTTTTGTGTGAAATGAAGAAATAGCAGAGTTATTATTAAATAATATCGAAAAATCACAACCTGTAAACTATTGATTAGGACAAACGCAAAAATAAATTAACACGAGCATGAGCAGTTCTGTCATATTTGCATTTGTTTTCATTTTGGTGTCACCCCTCTGTGTCAAGACATTATGGCGTCACATGATGCGGCCCGCGCCCCCTGCATCCCCTACGCCACGCTACTTATAGGCCGGGTGAATAAAAATGAGCTTTTACTCAGTAATTGGTCAGCTTTACGTGAAAAAAAAAAAACTTGAGGAATTTCGCTTAAGGGTTTATTCACGTAAAACTGACCAATTACTGAGTAAATTGCTTAACTTTACGTGAATAAAATTTTTTAGCTAAACTGCTGAGGTTTTTATTCGCGTAAAGCTGACCAATTACTGAGTAAAGGCAATTGCTCATTTTTATTCACCCGGCCTAAGATTTTTATTCCATTTTGTTCAGAAAATTTTACTTTATTATTTTATGGCTAAACGTCAAGAGATAAAAGTAAAAAACTATTTAAACTCTACAACTGCGATTTGATTACTTGTTTTGTAACAAAACATTGAAAAAAAAAAAAGTTATCAAACAGAAAATTCTACATTTTTAAAAGTTTTGAAGTAGATTTTTCTAGAGAATGTGAAAACTCACAGTAATAAAAAACTTAAATCTCATTAGGGGAAAAATATGATCAAATTAAGAAAATAAACTATTTTTTCAGGAATAAAATTATAATTATAAATGCAGAACGCTCATTCAGAATTGCCAACTAAAATCTAAAATAGGTATGTGGAAACCACGTTTACGGAAGCAAACTTTTTTGGTAAAACTCTGTACAACGCTTTTTGAAGTCTGCTCTGAGGTTGTGTTGCACCAAGAACGTAATAATAGCTGAACGTTTAATGCATTGTTTGAAAGCAAAGATCGTTATAAATAACAATAGGAAACAGTTGCCCGACGTGGAAATAGTTTCATTTGATTACACATCGAAATGACGACAGACTGATCTATCCAACTTTATTATGTGAAGTATTGTGATAAATATATTTTTACTCTTTTGTTAAAATATGTTTAATAACTCTTGTATCCTTGTATAGTTATATAACAAAAATCTTTTAAATTAAATATTTATTCTAGATTTCAACTTGTAAAAAAAAATTCAAAATCCAAATATATAAAAACGAAGTTGTAAGACAAAACAATTTTTGATTTCTGTCAAAAACGAGAAATTTAAATCTTTAAATATTATTAAAATTGTAGGCAGTAGCGGCAGTAGCGGCTGCAAACATAAAGGTTAATATAAGATGATTTAATATTGGATTTATGTTTATGAGCAACATTTGTAAAAAATATATTCTTTGATAAAAGTTGGTTTAGTTATGTATGTTTCGGTTACTTGTAAGCAATCTAAAACTTTTGACATTTTTGAGATTTATTAGACTTGTACCTTTCCAAATTTTTCAAGATTTTTTTAAACATTTTCTGAGAAGATTTTTATAAAATGAAATTTTTATTCAAATTATTTATAATAATTATGGTGCATTTATGGTGTATTATTATATTAGTTATTATTTGATTTTTTGTTCACAACATTTTTCTTTGAACAAGATTTTGAATTTGAATTGATTTTTTTTCCTTTAGTGATCTATGGCTTAAATTGAAGCAATAGTTCTTATAACTAATCTTTTTGAGTGACCCATGACAACCTAGCAACAACCATGACAACCTAAAGACAACGCTGTTTGAGAAATAAATGCTTTTTGAGTGGCCCATGACAACCTAACAACAACGCTGTTTGAGAAATAATTGCTTTTTGAGTGGCCCATGACAACCTAACAACGTTGTTTGAGAAATAAATGCTTTTTAAGTGGCCCATGACAACCTAAAAACAATGCTGCTTGAGAAATATATGCTTTAAAAGCTGGAACTAATATCATTTTTATTTATAACTTCATTCCAGTAACTTCTAATAATTTAGTTAATGGTTCTTTATTATAACTTTTATTATAAGTTCCTGCGGTATAAATTATGAAAAATAAAAAACTGAGATAGGTGATCAGAAACAGAAGCAATTAGGTTTTCTTGAAATTATTTGGTTATTGGTTGCATTCAAAAAAAATATTGTCAATGATTGTAAAAGAGTGGTCAATATGTATTGCCAATTACTGGCACTTCATAATTATCTGAGATAGGAATCACCCTAGCCTTTCATTAGCTACACGATAGTTTTAATTATTATTTCAAAGGAAGTTAGTACTACAAACCCTAAAGGCTGTATTTAATGAAGATTGCAAATTGATCAAATATTTATACATTTTCACCTATTTTTACAATCAAGCCCAACCCTTCATCTTTCCATTCGGGGTCAAAATTTCAAATTTTGTTTCATAGTTATAGAGGTGTGACAATACATAAACATAAATAAAAACTTGAAAAAAAAAAAGCTTGCCTAACCAAAGTTATTTCTTAAATGAAACAAATAATTTGAGTTGATTAAAATTTTATTATAGTCAAAAAGAAGAAACTAATACCTTGGTAACTTTGAGTATTTTCTTCAAATATTGGCGATAACTCCATAGACTGATTAATAGACGAAGGATCTGTAGGTGAAGGTGGATCAACAAGATCATTGCTATCAAGACCTGATGATGAAGAAACAAAAGGAGACTTTTGGAAAGTATTTTCTTTTGGTGATAAGGATGTTTTGTCTAATTGAGGTGAAATTTCATCTAAAATATTTTCCATTTCTGATACTTCATTACTAGAAAAAAAAGTCATAACATAGACCTAAATCAAATAACATATATATATATATATATATAATATATATATATATATATATATATATATATATATATATATATATATATATATACATATACAACCCTCTGAATTAGGGTCAGCATTCGGCAATGCCTACCTAACTGCCGATCATAAAGTGTTTGAGGTCAGCAAATAATTGGAAACCTCATTTCTATGTTTTATGGTGAGACCTTTGTATCAAATATTTTTTTGCCGAGCTGATGCCGACCTCTAAAAGATTGAGATCGGCAAATTATTTCCGACCTTGTTTTTCCTTATTCCGAGGGTTGTATATACTTTTAATATAGAAATATATAGAAAATTTGTACATAGCAACAACAACAGCAAAAAAATACATAATATGAAAATAGCAACAACAACAACAACAACAAAAACTGTAATACAACAATAACCTATACTTATTTATAAAGGTAAGGATAGAAGGAGCTCATAGCAAAGAGAATGTCAGAAATCATGCATGATAACCTCTTAAATTCTTGAATCATGCATGATAGTCCTATTAATGATAGCATCACAATAAAAATACTAAACCCTGATCTGCAAAGCAGTCAATGCCAGGAAAGTTTCTGGTCTTAAAAAATTGTTCTAAATCTTCCATAATGTAATATTTAAATAAGAAATTGCTTTACAAATGTTCATAAATAAACATTAGCTTTATAAATGGTCACAGATAAACATTAGCTTTATAAATGTTCACAAATAAACATAGTAATGCTAAATAGTTTCTCAATTTTATAAAATTTAAAATAATTGATTTCATATCTACTACCATGTTCGGCCTGTCATGATATATAATGACATGATGTTAGAATAAAAATAAAAGAATAGAATTATTAAAATTAGTTCAATTTAAATTTTTAAAAAACTAAAAAAACATGTACAACAGTTGTCTGAAAAATGCAGGCAAAAAAATCTGGAACATGATTTCTTAAAATTATCATTATTTCTAGATATTTTAAACAAAACCTGATATCTGTTAAAATTTGCTTCTCTGAAAAGCATGAATATAAAGCATTTATATTATATATAAAAAAATTACACATTTGAACATGTTTTTTAAAAGTGTTTTGCAACTAAAACCAAGTGAACTTTAACTCTACTGGTAAAATCAACATGATTTCACTTTTAATTCTTTAGAAACCATTGTAAAAAAATTCGAAAAAAATGTTTTTGGCCATTAAAAAAACAATTTTTTTTTTAAATACTTAAAAAAATTATTTATATTACTATATATTTTTTTTATATTTAAAAATATATAGTAAATAGATTTAAATTTTATGAAGAAAAAAAACCATGCGCAAGCAAAGTCCTGGGGATAAAAAAATAAAATAGAATAAAATAGTCTTCCAAAATTCAATTTTTTCCAAAATTTAATTTTTCCAAAATTCAATTTTAGCCCTACCAGATAATTTATATTGAATGCTATCTTGATATAAATGAAATTTGTTTAAAATTGAGGCCTGAAATGAAATACTATTTTTTTTTTTACATATTATTTTGGGGCTCGGTGATAAGACTAAAATTGTCTTCTTTTAGCCCCAGTCATTTAATTATTTTTTATAAGTTACAACTGTAAATTTTTTATTATTGGCAAAAGCGTAAATAAATTTCAGTTTTGATTAAATCAAAAACTACCATATTAAAGTCAACAACTACCAAACAAGTGAAACTTATCATTATCAAAGATTTATGCCAAATATTAAACGAGGCCTTGATTTAAAAAATATATATAACTCTCATGTTTGCAAGAAAAATTCTCCACCTAGCTTAATTAGCAATATGTTGTCTAACTATAAACTTATTGCCTTAAAATCTCATCAATATATCAAAGAAGATCGTTATTTGAACTTTAAGAATCAAAGCAGAAGTACAATGTATGCTTAAATGGAAAATATATATTGCACCATATAATGCTATAGCAGCAGTTTTTTTTTTAGCAATCATGATTGAACAATTGCAGCATGGTGATTGAACAATTGCAAACACTTGCTTTTTTTTCAAAAATGCATCAAAAACATGATTTTAAATGCTCTTCTGAAAAATAAACTCTTCTGCAAATTAAAATGAAGAATCAACGTGGCTTAAAAATCCTCAATATAAAAGATAAAAAATCTACTTTTTAGTGATTGGTGTAGATCTTAAATGATAGAATACTTAAACAGTTTGTGTATTTTGATGAGTCATAAAACCATGGTAATATACAATAAAATAAAAAACTAAACTTTTGATATTTATAAGGTTAAAATTTTTTTTTTAAGTATATGGGAGGACAGAGGTCCTCAATCTCTCCCTGTGCATCCTCCAAAGCTATTGCATTAGTATGGTATTGCACAAAGGTTTAAACAAATTAAGCCAGTTAGCTTAACACAAATAACCAGTTTAGCATATTTTTTTGTAAAAATACGCTAAAATGGCTAAATATTTTTATCTTGAAAAGTACTTTCCTAGTACTTTTCTTTCTTGAAACCTGTTAATGGTCAATAAAATAATTTACAATAAAACAATTTATGATACAATTTATGCTGACAAAAAAAGTACAAAAAATTCCTTTACATACCAATCGTATGCCAAAAAGCTATACTTTGGTTCTACCTAAAATAAAATATAAAAATTTGTTTGCTCCATTATAAAAGAGTAAAAACTAATAAATAATTTTTGTTTATGCTTAAACTTGACAAAAACTAAAAAAAAAAAAGGTTGGCAGATTAAAGTTAGTATGCTGTAACTCTTCAACACTAACCTGAGTAGGTTGAGTTCATGTTAAATGTGAACTTTAACCATTTTTTAACATCTTTACTTCTAACAAGGCTGCAAGCAACCACTATTAGAGTTGGAAGTTACTGGAAGAGAAAAGATGAAGTTTATATAGCAAGAAAATGATTAACAGACAACTTAAAAGATTGCAAATTATATGAATCAGGAAAGCAAAACTCCAAGAGAATTCCAAAGAGCTGATGTTTGAGGAAAAAAACTAGACGAATAAGAGTTTTTGGAGCACTTAGGAATAGTCACAGAAAAAGGATGAGACTTAATTGAATGACGAGTAACACGAGAATCGAAGTCGATAGCACAATAGAAACTACTCTTTAGAGCAGTGCCCGTTATAGTATTTGTAGAAACCAGAAAGCGAAGCAACATTATGACAATGTGATAATGGCTGGATGTTGTCTGCAAGAGCAGGTCCAACTATGTTAACAATGCATTTATGCACCTTGGCTAATAGAGAGAGAGCATCACTGGAAGATCTCCCCCAGATATGGCTAAAGTATTCCATAGAAAGACAGATTTGAGATTTATAGAGATAAAGAACAGAACCCTGAGTAAGAAAGTGGCAGGCACAAAAAAAAGATGCAACCTTAGCAGATGCTAATTTTGCAATCAATTTGATATATGGTCTCCATGAAAGATTGGAAGTATAAGTTAATTTTAGAAGATGAAGGGCAGATGACTGGTCAAGTACATGACCGTTCATAAATATAGGAAGATCTAAATTATTGCAATAACAATTGGCTGAAAAAAATGGGTTTTATCTGAATTAAATTTCACCAGCCACTGAGAGCCCAATGCTGTAGCAGAAGTAAGATTCTTTTCAAGCTCAAATGTCCCCTCCAAGTGATCAGAGAGTGTTGGCTTCTTATCAAGACAAAAATAAATAGTAGAATCATGAGCAAACAATGCCACCTTAAATGTGAATATATATGAAAGATTGTTAATGTAATTTAAAAAGAGTATAGGGTTGAGGATAGAATCTTGAGGAACCCCTAAAGTTACAGGATTTGAAGAAGACTGCTGTCTATCAAGGGACAACGATTGGAAAAGAAAGGATTCGATAATCTTATAGACTTTACTTGATACACCATAAGAAGAAAGCTTATGGAGAAGACCAGCATGCTATACTTTATCAAAAGCTTTAGAAATGTCGAAAGCCTTATTCTTAACCTCTCTGCCTCTATCTAATGTACAATAAAACCTATCGGTTATTACTGTTAGCAAATTGGCTGTAGAACGAGAATCAGAATCCATATTGATGATCAAAAAGTAAGTTATTAGATTCAAGATGAGAGATTAAGTTTTTTTAATTAAAGATTTAAAAACCTTGCTTATGATAGGAAGAAGACTAATCGGACGGTAGTTAAACGAATCAGGAAAAATGAGGTTGGCAAATTATTGCTGACTTCAATGTTGTAGAGGTCAGCATCAGGTGGGCAAAAAAATTTGATACAAAGGCCTTACCATAAAATATTGAAACCAGGTCAGCTTTTTTTTTGCCAACCTCAAACACTTTGAGATCGGCAGTTAGGTTGGCATTGCTGAATGCCGACTCTAATTCCAAGGCTATAAACATATATATATATATATATATATATATATATATATATATATATATATATATATATATATATATACATATATACATACATATATATATATATATATATATATATATATATATATATATATATATATATATATATATATATATATATATATATATATATATATATATATATATATATATATATATGTATGTAAAACTTAGTGACCAAATCAATTAATCAATCAATCAAATTTATTGACAGGCTCAAGACTCAAGATAACAAATATAAATGGGTAAAATAAAGTGGATTAAAAAATAATGCATTTGAATGTAAACAAAAATGCCCTTAAATATAAACAAAACCCAATAAAAAAAAAAACTTATTAAAAAAGTATTATAAATATATTCAGCTCTCCAAATAAACATAAATGGAGACTTCAAGAACCTGTCAGAGTTAACAAAAGATTCTATTATGAGGTTCTCACTATTCTGCAGCAGTAACAAATATGAGTATTGTTGCTTACGAATACCAACAATAAGGAAATAGGCATCATTCTTCACTAATAATTCACTAGCACTGTTCCATGCTGATTTATTTAATATCAAGCGAAGAGCATTATTATACGTGACACATAAACCATGGAATAGATCTTTTTGCAATAGGCAACATAACTGACATCCACAAATCGGACAGTAAAAGGCATTAAATAACATGATCTTTGTTTGTATTTGTGTTGTGCTAACTTTCTACAAATGAGGTTAGCTTTAGCACAGATAGAAAATACTTGTTTTAGAATATCTTTGTAATCCTGCATATCGTTTGAGATAAAATGACCTTTATATTGTGTAGTGTATGTGAGAACTATGCTAGATAATGTGAAACAAGGGCTATTTGCATAAGGTTTATAACTTTTTCAAACAATATTTGAGATTTAATATTGTTATAAGCTATACCATGTTTTATAGCTTATAACATATCCAGAGCAAATAAAGGGTAGGCAACTGTTTGAAAAATTTTAAGTAAACTTTAGGCATTTAATTTTATTTAAAAAGAGTTTAAAACATTTCCATTGCCCTGCTTCCTCATATAACACAATTTTAGGAAAATATATATTTCACTCTTTAAACTTTTTTGAACTGGTTAAACATGTTTGCTAGTTTAATTCTTATGAACCAACTTGGCTAGTTTATTAAACAAATTAGGCAGGCTAATCTATCAATGATCCAAATACACATAAAGAAAACCGAACCAAGAAAGAAATCAAAGAAGTTAGGTCAAGTTTTACAACCCCTACCTAGATTTATTATTTATTTAATGGTCATGGTATCTTTGACTGTCAAGTTAAATGTACAGAAAGGCTGCATTAATTTCAAATAATAAATAAATTTTTTGAAAAGGTAATTTAAACTAACAAAAATAAGACTTGTTGGACAATTTTTAATTTTGAAAAAGATAAAACTTACAAAAATAGGACTTGCGGGACAACACATTTTTAATTTTTCGAACCAAGTGTTGTAGGTTTCCTTTTCATTAGTGCAAAGATGCCATACACGTTCATCTGTATGAAGAATTATAACAAAACTAAAACGTAAATGTCCCACATGAGAAGTAACGCTAGCATTGTGCAGCTTTATTTTACCTTAAAAATTTAGAAATTTCAAGTATTTATATCATGAAATATTGACACATACTATGAGTGTCATAAAATCATAGAATATCTAAAAAAAAAAACAACAAAAAAATACATTTAAAAACATTATTTTAAGAAAAGAAAAAGAAAGAAATAAAGATCAATAAAAAAAAGATACACTGAACTTAAGTAACACTGCAGGCTTTGTTATAAAATTTAGAAATTGAACATATATGTGGCATGATGTTTCATATATGTTACAAATATTCATGTAACAAGTATGAAATGTCATAAGATTAACTAAATTGTGAAGTTTAAAATATATAGTAGCCTATTTTGAAAATATTTAGCTTTCAGGCCAAAAACCACTAAAAAGAAAAAAAGAACAACATATCAATACCTAAAGGTTCTTCACCATCCTCTTGATGATTAACTTTTTTATAGTAGTAAATCTCAAAACCTGGTGTAACATTATATAAAACAAACCAACGGTGTTGCCATCTAGAAACTTGAGTTCTGATTTTGTCATTTGGTGGAGATTTAACAAAATAACCACTTGCAATAATCTTTTGTGTGTCAAGTTTCTGGTCATATTTTAAATCATAGAAGCTGCCACCTAACAAATGAGACTTTAAAAATTATGTCTAAATAATTAAATAAAAATCAACACAAAAAAAAAACCTAATTGACACTCTTCTTTTTAAAAAAATAAATAAGGTTGCCAGATGAGATTTTTAAATGCTAAATTTAGTAAAAATGCATTATTAAAAATGACATTATAATAATGCAATTTTTGCAAAACGCTGTTTTGTTAAAATGATTATTTTAACAAGACAGCATTTTTAAAAAATTGTTTTTTTTTTTTGTAGGTTTTGATTTCATTTGTTTCAGAATATTGAGCGCAATGTCAAGCAAAGAGTTTGAACTCAAGAAAATGTATTACAAAATGGTGAATTGAATATCCTTGGCTTAAAAAAAAGCATTGGGTGAAGAATAAGCATTCTTCACCATCAATGCCTTTTTTTAAGCCAAAGATAAGTCAAGCACCCATTTGATTTTGACTATATAAACACGGAAATCGTCTGTAGAACAGTATAGAAGTACAATCAGACATCTTAACTAAAAAACAAAATAGACCTCTTAACTGTAAGATTACCAGTCTAATAGTCTAATATAGTTAGGCTTACAATACTTTACACATATAAATATATATATATATATATATATATATATATATATATATATATATATATATATATATATATATATATATATATATATATATATATATATATATATATATATATATATATATAGATATATATAATAATAATAATTTGAGTGAAAGAAAATAATGAAGAGTGAACTTGAACTCAAGTCTAACTCAAAAACCAATCATTTTCAAGTTGGACTTAAAAAGCCTACTTGAAAAAGCAAAAATCTTTTCTAAATGCAAGAACAGTACTTGAGATTTCAAGTTATACTTTAACTCTGAAATCTGACTAAAGTGTAATCAAGAAACAACTTCAAAATGAATTGGTTCATAAAAAATCAGATTTTAAGTTGTTTTTTGAAGTTCAGTAAATCAAGCCTTGAAAGCAAACTCAAAATAAAAAACCAATTATCATTATCATTTTGTTAATATGTGGTAAAAAGTTACATAGAATTTTTGTCAATTTAATATTTTCATGAGTGAATTACTAATGAATCATTATTTTTATACTATATAAATATATTTCACCAGTACAACAACTGTCAATAGTATGTCAGTTTTGCTACTGGTTCATTTCAGGTGAGAAAGTATTTATACTATCCCTACAATTATATTATCATAACTATAATTATACCAAATTAAATATATAAATATATATATATATATATATATATATATATACATATATATATATATATATATATATATATATATATATATATATATATATACATATATATATATATATATATATATATATATATATATATATATATATATATATATATATATATATATATATATATATATATATATATATATATATATATATATATATATATATATATATATGTTAAACGAACACTAGGAGTTTCTATAAACACCAAGCTCAAATGGGCTGACCAAATAAACCAAACAGCACAAAAAGCTAATATGGTTTTAGGAATGCTTAAGAGAACCTTTGAAAAATGGAATGTGTCTATGTTTCTCAAACTCTATACATCTTATGTTCGTCCTCTGCTTTAATACTGCGCACCAGTTTGGAATCCATTCCTTAAAAAAGATATTGAACAACTTGAACAGGTACAAAGACGTTGTACTAAGTTACTTCCTCAGTTATGGAACCTGAGTTATAAATCACACCTGGCTAAGTTGGGTTTAACAACTTAATACAAACGCAGAAAAGAGGTGACCTAATACAATATTTTAAAATTTCCAAGAACTTTAATATAGTTAAGTGGCAAAATCATACACTCAGCCCATTAACAGTCAATAGCCCAGTTGGTGGTCTACGTGGTGCAAAATTCAAAATCCATAGAGAGTTTACTAGAAATTCAGCCAGACATAACTTTTTATGCAATCGTGTAGTACCTTATTGGAATAGCCTACCAGATTTAGTTGTTACTTCAAAGACAGTTGACCAATTCAAAAATAATTATGACAAATGAATTCAATTGTTCATTACTATAGCTGGATCTCAATAGATTCCCATCTCATAGAACTTTCAAACTTTTATTGTAGAATAAAAATAATAATAATACATATATATATATATATATATATATATATATATATATATATATATATATATATATATATATGTATATATATATATAAATGTTTATATATATATAAAAGTGTATATATATGTGTGTGTGTGTATATATATATATATATATATATATATATATATATATATATATATATATATATATATATATATATATATATATATATATATATATATAAACTCATTGTAAACATAGTAAACAAACACCTGTTCTTGCAGCCAACCTTTAACCATTATCACATTGCCGTAATATTGCTTATCTTTCTCTTTTCTACAAATATTATATACAAATATAATGAGCACTGCTCTAAAAAGCTAGCGTCTCTTGTGCCATCTACTAAAATTCATTTTCGTGTTACTCATCATTCAATTAACTCTCATCCTTTTTCTGTAACTGTTCATAAGTGCTCCAAAAACTCTTAATCCTCTAGTTTTTTTCCTTGAACATCAATTCTTTGGAATTCGCTTCCTTCATCTTGCTTTCCTGATTCATATAATTTGCAATCTTTTAAGTTGTCTGTCAATCGTTATCTTTCTCAACAATCTTCATCTTTTCTCTTCCAGTAACTTCCAACATCAACTAGTGGTTGCTTGCAGCCTTGTTGGAAGCAAAATTGTTAAAAAAAAATAAAATATATATATATATATATATATATATATATATATATATATATATATATTTTTTTCTGAACTGATTTATTGTTTCTTGGGTTAATGATAGACCACCAATTTTTTTTAAAAAGTTTTTTTATTTTCGATGATTATTTCGATGACAAATATAAAGTTATAAAGCAAATATAGCCTATATTTGCTTTATGTATTTTTGTATTTACAAACTGTTTTTACAATGTGTTTGCTTTTTTTTTTCTTCTTTTTTTTGAAAATCTAAATACAAGTTCAAAAACCTATTTCTTTTTTTCAAAACACACACTAAAAAACATATGATATATATATATATATATATATATATATATATATATATATATATATATATATATATATATATATATATATATATATATAAAATAAACGTTGAGCAGAACAATTTGAGCGATTCACTACAGTGAACCGCTCAAAATGCCTACAGGTAAACTGAAATTCCACTATAGAATGTGTGCTCGGAAGAGTTAAAATGTATGTCGATAACAAGAAGAAAAATTTTTGATATAAGATATACTTTATTTTAATTTCGAATTGATTTTTGGTAACATGTTAGTCCTAAATGTGACTTCAGATTGTGATTTACAAATAATCCTTTAACCTCGGTTTATTTATCTGAGTTGTTTCTGAATTATGCCTCGCTCAGCGTAGTTTAGAAGAGATCCAAATGATTTGCATTTCATAAAAACAAAAATTTACATTTTTAAACTTCAAATTTTTTTGTTTTCTGCTTATTTTCGACTAATACTGTTATATATTAAAAAAAAAAGAATTTAGAAAAAAAAGAATAAGCTTTTCTTATATAAGTTTTTTTTTTTTTCTAAATCTTTTAACCTAAGCATCAAAAAAATTTTTAACCGTCATAAAAACAGCTGTTGCAGCTGTTTTTATGACGTGAGTGAAAACTAATGACGTGAGTGAAAAAACTATGACGTGAGTGAAAACTAATGTGAAAACCAAAGTTTTCACATTAGTTTTCACTCATATCAATTTACTAACATAATCTCTTTATAGTTGTTTGAATAAATTACTAAACAAAAACATTTCAATATATATATATATATATATATATATATTATATATATATATATATATATATATATATATATATATATATATATATATATATATATATATATATATATATATATATATATATATATATAAACAATTTTAAAAAATGTATTCTACAAAATAGAGTGCTCAATGTTCTTAAAAGATCAAAGCAATTATAAATTAGTAGATAATCACTTAACAAAAATTTTTTTTTTGAAAGCAAAAGGGACTAAACGCTAAGTTTCTCTTCGGATCTCTTCCTTCCAAAAAAAGCCACTCAACGTAGTTGAGTGATTCTGGACCTTTTTTTCCGCTTCAATAAAACATTTTTCAAAGTTTGGATTATACTTTTTTCTTTGTTTAAAACTGTTTTCTTGGTGAAAAATTTGAAAAAAATGAATCTATGCCCACCTATTACCAGTTCCAGTCGGTAGATATTGATTATAAAATATTAATAATAAAATGTCGGATAATGAAATAAATTTAAAGCACAAAAACTTTCCATACCTGCACATAGAAAGAGCGCGTTTATGCTATCTTTGCCACCCTAAACAAAAAGAGAAGGAGTAGCAGTTGCTACCTTAGGGTATTCCTTTCCGGACTTGCCTGCTGTCAACACATTTTCTAAGGTTTATTCAAGATATGAACAAAACTTTTTTCGGCACTTCGGGATTATTTAAAAAGCAGATTTAATAGTGAAGTCGATGTTCTTTTTGTTGTCATTCATCCATTTTCCCGATGGGTTATCTTCGAGAAAATTTTTTTCATATATGCAAAAAGTAGCTTGTTTCAAAACCTTCGTCTGCATCAAAACAAACTATTTAAAGTGTAGTTTTATTATCAAATAAATCAGAGATTTCTGAATCGATGACATATAAGTTTTTTTTTATCATGATTGATGAACCAACTAATATTAAAAAAATCAATTCCATTAAAAACATACAGTACTGAACAAGTTATTAGAAATAATTGGTGAAACGCTTTTTTATTTTGAGATTTTGTATACAGAAGAGCTTTCTAATTTGTATTCAAATTCAAAATGCTTTTATTTTGGAAAAAGAAGGTGTAAAGACAAGATGAATGACTATTAATTAAAGATTGCTGGTTGGTCTTCTTACTCACAATCCAAGAAAAAAGCCTCGGCTTAATGAAAAAATTAAGCAAGCTCGCATGGAATGGTCCCTGGCGCATAAACTAGAAAGTTAAACACTAATCAAAAGTTATTTTTTCAGTTGAGTCTACCGTCCATGTATTAGATAATAGTGCTCAGTCTGTAAGATGGAGGCAATCTTACAAAAATACCATAAAAATTATGGTGTGAGATGCGAAATCTACCAAAAACATCTACAAACTGTGCAAAGGATAATGAATAGAAAAAAGTGCATTTAACTGCTTAGTACCCTTTTGAACCCCCAAATACGAGACTTTTTCTAGAACAGCACCTATAATTTTTAGCAGGACTCAGCGCCATTCCACTCTCCACACAAGGTCATTGAATGACAAAAAATGAAGTAAAGCTATTTCCATGGCTAGGAAATTCCTCTGACAAGTGTTATATAAAATAATTTTGGGATCGTGCTTTTTTTACTTTTTGTCAATAACCAACAAACCAGTCTTTACAGAACTGATTCGTGTTCGATTTATGAAAATGAGATCAAGAAGGTTGCTAGCTACATTAGTTGGCGTCTGCTTAGCAACAGCTTGTAACAACAGCATTTTAATCACGAGAACCACTAGTACCACTAAATCCATGAGAACCATTAAATAAACTAGCAACCAGCTAATGATAAATTTTAACAATAAAAACAGCGGTTTGTCAAAAAGCGTTTTGTCAAAGATTGTTAACTACGTAGCCTGCGACTAGTTAGCTATAACTTACAATAATAACGAGCTCAAAAGAACTCAAATATGTTATCATAACAAAATAACTTTTTTAAGTTATTTATATTTAAAGAAGGAAAACTCATACTTTGAGAAAAATTTAACTTTTTTAAAACTATTTGGTTCCACAGAAAAACTCCGCAATATAATATAAGAGATCATCCAAAATTTGTATGCAAATAGTGTTAATTGTCATTTCTTAGGTCATATTTGTTTAGGGTTTTATTGCATATAAATTTTGAAAGGATATAGGCATTAAGTTTATGTTACATTTGTACATAAAGCAAAGAAAAAAAGTTAAAAACATTTTGGTTGTTTTATTTCCAATAAAAGAGGTCTGGCATGAGTATAACGATCTTTAAAGTTTATTAGACTTGCAAGATATTTCCGTTGCCGGCAAAGAGGTTTTTTTTTTTTTTTTTTAGTACTGTCACAGGCGATATTTACATGCAAATATTGCATGTAAAAAATGTATCTCGTTTTACATTTTTTGCTCTATACAATAATCCAAGACTTTTTGAAACTTTGTTGCACAAAGTTTTGATAGGATTTTTTTATGTAAGATTTTCATCAACAAAAACACCAAGGAAGTGTATAACTTTAGATTGTATTGTTTAAACATTGTCAATATATATTTGAGGCATATCATTAGGTAAAAATGATATATATATATATATATATATATATATATATATATATATATATATATATATATATATATATATATATATATATATATATATATATATGTATATATATATATATATATGTATATATATATATATATATATATATATATATATATATATATATATATATATATCGTCATTATTAATATAAATTTGTACAACATTTTACCGTGAAATATATGACTGGAGCAAGTAGAAGACAATAGTCTTATCATCTTGCCCCATTTTTGTCGTTGACAAAATATAATAAAATATAAACCAAATACAAATATAATAAAATATTTATAATACATGTGAATTTTTTTTTTTTTTTTTTTTACAATGAACTTCATTAAATAACCAAGCAAGTAATATAATAGAATTTCAAGAAAAAGTGAAAGAAAAAAAAAAATTTAATTGAAAAAAGAAAAATTTTAAAAATATGAGATTGTTTCATTAATGTTGAGGTCTAGTAGCTGTTGCTTTACAACGCATTTAAAATGTTGGAATGAGTTTATCGTTTTTATTTTGTTTGTTAGAAATGAGTTCCACAATTGGGGTCCTCTGCTGGATATTGAGAATTTAGATTGTCTTAAAGAGGTTTTCGGAATATAGTAGTTTTTGATAGAGTTTTTTGTTTGATATTTGTGATTAATAAGTTGAAAATAGTTATGAAAGACTTCAGGGACCAGATCATTTTTGAGTTTAAACATGAACTGAAGTATGCAATATATATTTTGTTTGTAGATATTAAGAACTCTCAGTTCCCTCATTAAATGTTAAGAATTGGCATTTTATTTGCGTTTGTTAATATACGACACGCTTGTTTTTGTTTTTTATATATTAAATCTAGTTTTGATTAGTAGGTACTAGCCCAGGCAATATTACAGTAGTTAATATAGCTATGTATATATGCAAAATAAAAACTTTTGTGGTTTTTCCAGCTAATATGTTCATCTAATAATACCCCGACAAATTTAACTGAGAACGCTCGATTTAGTCTAACTTTGTCTAATAGAATATCTGGAAGTTTTAACGGTAGTTTGTCTGAATTGTAAGGTTTTGTGAAAAAGATATAATTATTTTTCTCAATGTTGACAGAAAGTTTGTTTGCTTTAAACCAATCGCTCAACTCTTCAAGTTCCTGATTTACTGTTTTAAAAAGTGTAGTAATGTTAGAGTGAGTAAAGAAAGCATGAGTGTCACCTGCAAAAAGAATGAAGTTCAATATACTGGAAGATAAAAATATATCATTTATATAGATTAGGAAAAGCAGAGGTCCTAGAATAGACCCCTGGGGAACATCACATGTGATGATTTCAAGGGGAGTGTATGTTTTATTGAAAAATAAGGCTTGCTTACGGTTTTTTAGATAGCTAATTTTTTAGATTAACTAATTTTATTACAGCATGTTCAGTTGAGTGGCTTTTTTTAAATCCGTATTGGTCATTGTAGAGGATGTTATGATTTTGAAGGTATGTAAAGAGTCTATTATACATTATGCGCTCCAATATTTTTGAAAAGCACGGGAGTAAGGAGATGGGTCTATAGTTAGATAAAGTCGAGTTATCTCCGCTTTTAAATACTGGAACTACGCGTGCTAATTTTAGGCGGTCCGGAAAAACTCCATTATTTAATGAGAGATTAAAGATATATACTTCATGATATCCAAATTTTTAGGATTATGGATGAAATGGAGTTCAGTTAGTTTTTTCTATGTTTATTAACAGTTTATTTGACTTGAACCAGTTTGAACTTTTAACTACTCCTATATTTATGTCATGAAAAAGTTTTAAGATATTTTTACTAGACAGAAAAAGATTTGTTTTATCAGCAAACATTACTGTCATTATTAGCGTTAACATAAAGCGTTTAGCCATTTTTAGTGGTTACCTCTTATGGTCCACCAAGTAAACGATGATCAAAACTATTATGATTTTCTCAAAATGCTTATATAGGTCCACTGAAATTCCTCTATAGAATGTTTGCTGGGGCGCTTTGTGTTTTTTTGCGCATTTGATACCTCTCGCATTCACTGACATATATGTTAAGCTCTTTTTTATACCAAAATACTTCAAAACATTCAATGATTTTTGACAACCATAGTTATATTGCAAAATTGCAGATTAAATTTTTAAATGTTACTGCTTGAAAAGGCGCTTCTGAACGTAGCTTGCGTATTTAAACTTAAATGGAGAGATATTGTACTTCTCAAGTAGTTCAGATTTACTCGAATAATTCTTGAATATTCTTATTATTAATAGAATATTCTTTGTATATTATGTTGTATTTGTTAACTGACCGGTTGAAAATATTAACTGCTCTTCCTTTGAACCTTAAGATTTTAAAAAGTCCTTCGTTAGTGTTCGATTTCGCTACATAAAACTTAAACAAGAATAGTGTAAAACATGAAAAATTTGAAAAAATTTTAAATTTTTTTGTATTTAAAACTTTTACTGCTTTAATACCTTAAATAAAGATAATATTTCTAATATGAATTTGTTTTTTAAAACTTAATTTTTTTTTTTTTGTTTGACCCATTTTACTTTTTTATTTAACCCATTTGATTAAATTTTAAACGCATTCACAGTGCATTTTAAAGTCACTATAATGTTTATTATGCTTTAAAAGGTTAGCATAATATTCATTATGCCTTAAAAGATCAGCATAGTGCTCATTATGCTTTAAAAGGTCACATTATGCTTTAAAAAGTCAACATAATACTCATTATGCTTTAAAAGGTCAGTATAATGCTGATTATGATTAAAAAGTCAGTTTAATCATTGAAAAAAAGAAATATAAAAATTATTATTTTGAAATTTCAAGTTTTAAGACATGTTTTTTAATTGTAGGAGCACAATTATAAAAAATACAAAATAATAAAGAATATTTTAACATATACATAATTTTATTTCATAATATATATGCAAAATGAGATATGATAGACCTTACAATTAACTTTATCAGCAGAATTATAGGACACGGCGATTGTCCGGTTTGTTGAATGCGATTGTTAAACTTCTTTCAAGCTTAACTTTGTCAACTACATTACTATTTTAATTGTGTGTTTCCACCAACAATTTTTTAATAAGATTTTTTTACTAAATTGTTTCCAAAATATTGCGATATGTTTGAGGAGGTTACAAAACAAAAAAAATGTTGACACTAATAATAATAAAAAAAAAAATTAAAACTAAACTTACTTCGAAACGATAACGACTTTCCTATTTTTTTCATGTTCTACCAGAAAGTAAAAAACTCACTGTTTTTTTATTTACATGCATTTTTTACATAATTAGCATAATAGAAACGGATTATTTATTGATAAATTTTAATTTTATGAGATTAAAAAGCTTATGTTGAACGTTTCGCTTATGTTGTACGCTTTATGATTTTGAAACACAAAACCAAGTTAAAAAGTTTCAAATAACTAACCATAATGTCGAAAAGCTACAATGTGTTAATTAAAAAATATAACATTTAAAAAATAATACATGTTCGCTCAAACTTTTACATTTTACTCAAGAAAAAAAATAGATAAATGAACTAAATAAAAAAAAGATAATTATTTCAATTCAAGTTATCCACCATTTTGTCAAGTTGAATTAGGTTATATAAATATAATAGATATTAAATAGGTGATATAATAACTACGTGATAATATAATTCAAAAATATACAATCTTTTTAGTTTAAGTAATACTATTTTATACAATAAATTTCTTAAAAGTTTCAAACAAAAAAAACCGTTCAATCAAAAGTTATGATCAAACTAAAACTAAAAAACTGCAAGTATTCAGAGCCGACGACACCGGGAAGGGGGGGGGCTAGGGGCCTGATACTATTTTATACAATAAATAATACTATTATAGGACCCCCCCCCCCCCCCACTTTTTTTCTTGAGGATTTTTTTTTTTTTTTTTTTTAAAAGATTTTTTAAAGAAATTTTTTTAAGATATAGAGGACTTTTTTCACATTTTGATGATTGTGCCCCACCACTTCAAAACCCTTGTCGCCGGCCCTGGTATTAGAATGTGAAAAATAGCGTCTAAAAATATAAAGGGGATAGCAGGGCAAGTTGTCATGTAGGTAAATTGTCATAGCCACTATTTTGGAATTTTGTGCCCTGATTGATGCTGTGACGTTTTGATAAGAATGCTCAGTTGATTTTATGAAATTTGAGCGAATAGTTTTTCTGAAAACTAAAATTTATCAAAAATTGGTAAATGACATTTTAATATAAAATTTTTAAATATTTATTTCAATTTTCAATACATTACCAAAATGTAATATTTTAAGTGGGAACAAAACGTCGTTCGGTGGTAGGTCTTCACAAATGGCGGACGTTTTTTTTATACGGTAAAAACAAAAACAAAAAATAATAAAGAAAAAAAGAAATATTTTTAATATAAATTTTCTTTTAAACGTCATAAAGTGCTTGTAACAAACAATCTTTCAAAAAACTAATTAATCTTTTTAAAAAAAATAGTTAAAGAAAAGTATATTTATAAAAAAAAGAACTTTGATTTAAGAGAGAACACTTTAAGAGAGAACATTTAAAAAAAAAAAAAAAAAAAAAAAAGAAAGGAAAGAAGTAAACAAAGGAAAAGGAGAAAAAAAAAAAAAAGGTAAACAAACAAAAAAGAAAAGAAGAATAACAAAACAACTTTGAAGAAAAATAGATTTTCTAGAATAGATAATCTTTTTTTTACGTTTTAATTTGTAATTATTATTATTTTTATTATTATTATTTAACTTACTAATTTTATTTTTCTTTTTTTTACATTATATTTTTAAATTATTTATTGTTAATTATATTCACTTTAGTTTTAGTTAGATAGGGAAAAATGGGGTGAAGTGGGACATGGGGTGAGATGGGATCTTATTAGAAAATTTAATAACACAAAATATTCTTTATATCTTTGATAAGTTTACAACAACTAATTCATATTATCGTGTTTTTTGAGTTTTAGAAGTATTTTTTTGTTCAAATTATTTGTGAATATGTAAAAATCTAACAAGTTTTCTTGATTTTGAAAACATCATTAGTATTAAATATTTACGTGTTGTTTGCATGTATTTTTATGCTTATAGATTTTAATTAATCACTCATGTCTAATTTAATTACTGAAAAAACATGATTAGCATGTGGTTAGTAGAATTATATAAAATAAGGGTTTTCTCACACCTACTAGTTATGGGTTGATTTGGGACAGCAGACTTAGGGTGAATGATACAATGTTCAATTTCATCACTTTTTAAATTTACTATATTTTAACTTTTATAAATAACGTTTTTGTAAATAAGCAATTAAGCAGAAAAATTTAGTTTATGTTTATTATAAGGTTTCAATGTTTACTTTACGTTGCTGTGTTTTTTTTCATAGAAAAATGAATTAATTACATAGGATTTCCTTGTCTTGAAATTTTACCCTGATTATTAAAGGCATCTTTCACAGTAAGTTTTGTTGACAAATATTTTTTAGCATGTTTTAAATTCAGTTTAAATTTTTTTTTTTTCGGTCTTCTCTATAACCCTATTTAAATTTCAATATAAGTTTCATTGTGGTACTATTTTGTTTTCTGTTTTAGTTTATGTTTATGGTAAGTTTCATTGTTTACTTTATGTTACTGTACTTTTTTTCATAGAAAATAAGATTAATTATATAGGATTACTTTGTCTTGAAATTTTACCTAGATTTTTGAAGGCATCTTTTACCGTCAGCACTGTTTTATTGACAAATATTTTTTGGTATATTTTAAATTCAGTTTTTTCAGTTTAAATTATTTGTTATAAGCTTTCACTCTAACCCTTTTTAAATTTAACCTCATCATAAGTTTTATTGTGGTTTTTATTTTCATTATTTTTAATCTTAATCTAGATTTTGCCTAATGCAATTAAAAATCGAATAGTTTTTTAATATTGGAGATAGTGATAAATTTAATATTTTTTTCAAAAAAGTACAAATTGGTTAAAGTCTGATACTTATACAATTAAAGCCGCAGTGATGGCTCTCGAATCTGGGAGCTTATCACTACGAGAAACTGCACAAGAGTATAAAGTTTCAAAATCAAATTTATAGTTGAAAATAAAGTTTAACACAGAAACTTCTTACAATAATTTATATTTTGATGAACAGCATAAATATATTTTTAATAAGGCACAAGAAGATGAATTTCCGTCAAAAATCTTGGTCAAGCATCTAATATGCATTATGGACTTAATGAAACAAAGCAACTTGCATATCAAAATGAATCTTGCATATTAATATCAACTTGCATATCAATATAAAAAGAAACAAAGCAACTTGCATATCAATATGCAATTTAAAATGACATTAAAATACCAAAAAACTGAAAAAAGAGTGAAACAGTATAACTGAATGATTTTATTTATTCTTAAATAGTACAAAATTATCTATTCGTATCCCAGAATCTGCCAGCCTCAGTCGAACAACTATTTTTAATTGCACAAATGTAGATACTTTTTTTAAAAACCTTGACAGTGTACAGAAACGTTACAAGTTTTCTACTGTTTGTATTTACAACATTGATGAAACCGCTTTTACAACTGTTCATAAGGCAGCAAAAATGATAGTTAGTAAAAGAGTAAAATAAGTAGAACAGGTAACTGCAGCCGAAAGAGAACTTCTAGTTACAAGGGTAGTTTGTATTAATGCCCATGAAAATTCTATTCCACCGATTTTGAAATTTTAATAATGGACAACCACAAAAGTTATATATATATATTGAATTGAAATGCATGAAGCTAAGGAAAATAATGTTGTGCTTCGGAAATGCCATCACGTTGCAGCCACAAACTTCAACCACTTTACAGATTAGTATTTGTGCCATTAAAGAATTTTTACATTGCGTATGACTCATAATTAATGGCATTCCAAATACTCTATGACGATATATGACATTTCTCAAAATTTAGGATTAGCTTATACGAGTACCTTTACTTCCCAGAACGTTCAAAATGGTTTTAAAGCTGCTGGCATTTTCTTTTACGATCCATATGTTTTTAGTAATGTGAACTTTTTATCTTTCTTATGTATCTAATCGGCCAATTCCAGCAAATCAGCCAGTTTGTCCAACAGTATTTATCAACCGGTCAAAAAATATTTTCCGTCAGTCAAACCCGGCATAACCATCAATTGTATCTGAAGTTATTAATGACAAAAAAACAGCAAACCATCACTTCTGTCTACCATTGGAGAGCAGAAGAAATAAAGCTTTTTCCAAAAAAAGAGGAGAGGGTGGCAAAGAGAAAAATTGCAAATAGAAAATGTTCTAGGTTTCTAGTATTGACTGGCACACCAACAAGAAATGAACTAGTAGAAATTTTAGAAGGATGTAAAAAAAAAAGGAAAAAAAATATATATATATATATAATGCATAAATTTGACCCAGTTTAAACACCAAGCAACCTTTTAGAATGTCATCTTGCGTTGCTTAAGTATATATATATATATATATATATATATATATATATATATATATATATATATATATATATATATATATATATATATATATATATATATATATATATATATATATATATATATATATATATATATATGTATATATATATATTTAATATATATATATATATTTAAATATATATATATATATATATATATATATATATATATATATATATATATATATATATATATATATATATATATATGTATATATATATTTATATATATATGTATATATATGTATATATATATATATATATATATATATATATATATATATATATATATATATATATATATATATACAAAAAAACCATACCCCTAAATTTGGGGTAAATATCTTGAAAACAAGCCTCAAAGAGTTTGAGCGCTCCCAGACCACTTTTGACCCCCCCTCCTCAAGCCCAAAATTTAGGGAAAAAAAGGACTGAAAAGTGGCCATTTTCGGGCGTCTTGAGGGTAAGGTTATATATATTTTTTTTCAAATTTTTTTTTTTTACTTACTATATGAAGGCATATATTTTAGTTTAAAACTGTATGGTTTTTTTATTACTTCTCAAAAATCTATGTTTGGTGGTATTGAAAATCATGAAAATCATGTTACGCCTATTGTTGTATAGGTATACTTTGGTGCAACTTCTGAAAATTTTAAATTTTACATTTTTCTAATAATTTAAGATTAGTACATAAATTAATTATATTAGAAATGAGCAAAGCTAAACTAAGGTCAATGAAAAAGGAACATTTTATTATAAAAGAGACAAAACCAGCTATATCAGGTAGAATTTTTTTTTTTAATACTGGAATTAGTAATGATTCGTTTTTGGAATTATTA